CCGATCGTAACGGACTAGTGTAAGCGGAAGAACGGTGCATGTTTTCTAGTATTGCGGCAACCCGTAACAAGTACCAAATTATGCAACAGAGACTACAACAGTAAACACGCACCCTGAGTCAAAACTCAAGGAATCCTAAACCACATTGAGGCGGCGACACGAGATTACTATGGGAGCCGTCCATGGTACATATGCGCATGTGCAATTCCTTGTCTTTCTGTTTTTGTCTCATCTTAGCTGTCCTAGCTTCCCAAACGCGAGCTTCTTCCTGTTACATCATGATTGTGTACATCAGGTTTCACGAGCGACATGCACACACCAAATTCCGTACCAAATTTGCATTTTATGCAACCTCGGCAAACACGTCCATACCAACATTGGTAGATTTGTAAAAGCATTTGGTTCTAGACATGTTCTTTATCAGGTTTTTCAAGGTCCGCGGGTATATTCAATGCTATCTGGAATGTTCCTATCTGTATATACATCTGTGTATATAGGTCATCAGGTCTGCACTGGTTTTCGTAAGTGGCGACATGGTATACTTGGTACATCCTCTCCATTTGTATCTGACGCATATGCAGAAGGTCAGGCTTGCGTATATGTAGCCAACTATGCAATATTATTGCAGTCTTGATGTTGTCGTTGCTGCGGCTGTTACTACATGGTTGCGAAATAGCTATGTGTATGTGCGATACCCACAGAAGCCTTGTATTTCCCGAAACCAGAACGATATTACCGTAATCAAAAAAGTATTTTCCCACTGAGGATTTATGCACGAACGTGGCAGCTCGTGGCCGTGGGTTATATGCACAGTGTGTGCACTAGGGTTTGTCGGCCTCTCTCGTATGCGACCATCTATTACGCATTTCCTACCCATGAAGCCTCTTGAGTTCAGTAAGCATATTGAATTCAATAGGGCTGCCGGATTGAAGATTGAAGATGCCATGGGAATGTTTTCTGTGAGATCTTCAATCTTCAAGCTTCAATGCGACAGCCCTATTGAATTCAATAAGCCTATTGAAGTCAATAGGCCTCATGGCTGAATTGAACTGCAACACAGGGGATGCATCGGGACTGCCCTCATTGCACGCGCACAAGCATGTGCTCCAGCATCTGTTGTACTGTTGTAGTTCTGCACACATACTGCGCATACAGAGTAGTCGTTTAAACTGGTAGACAAGTTAGGGGGGAGTGGGTCAGGGGCACAGTACACAGGATTTACACCAAAACTGGGTAGATATAGATAACTCGGGGGTACCATATTAATATATGTATATATGTATGTCTTTATTATCTCTATCTATCTCTATTCATTATCTCCATATCTCTCTCTCTCTCTATGTATGTATATATGGGTCCCCATATATATATATATGTATATATGTATATATGTATATCTACATATATATATATATGTTACATGTGCATGTGCATGTTGCGTGCACGTAGTGAGATTTAGATTTAGCTTTCCGCTCTCTCTGTCTCTGTCTGTCTGTCTCTCTCTCTCTCTCTTTCCCTCCCCAAAAAATTAGACCCTTTCTGCGCTTCAGCCGCAGTTTGGCACAACATCTGGATTGTTTAGGTTGGCACTTCAGGCCTAGGTTCTGGATGGGGTGAGGTTTGTGCGTTTCTGCGCACGGTCCGTTCGAGAATGTCTTTTGTGTCGGCCTGTGGATGTTTTGTGCTTCAACTCCTTTAATTTGCAAAGTACCCAGATGGACCTAGGTGATTAGGGTCATTGAGTGTTAGGGCATGGGGCTTGAAGCCTCGGGTTTAGGGTTTCGTTTAGCTCGACGGAATTATGCTGCAGGTTCCAAACTGCACACAAGTCCCGATGATGGTGTATTGGCACGTGAGATCATCCTCTTCGAATTTGAGGAACCAGATAGTCTCGGATAAGCGAGCATTAAACTCCCGAGCTCTAAACCAAAAAGCACTGGACTCCCCAAAGCCGCAAATTTTCAAGCCATGTCTGCAACCCCACACCCAAAACTCGACCCAGTTGCAAACCAAAGCACCCGAGCCCTAAAGCCCTTGAACTGATGCCGCCGAAACACGGTTTAGGGTTTAGTGCTGACGGTTTAGGGCCTAGGGTTTGGGGTAAACACCCAGAAGAATCCTAAACCAGCCTTGGCTCTTGAGCCTCGAGCCTGAAACCCAGTGCCGTGCAAGCCGCCAAGAGACATTGCAGATCAAAGTCCCAAAGCGCTAAAGCTTAAATCCCAGAAGATGTCGCCGGGCAAACTTGCAGTCCTCTAACCCAAAGCCCTGAGCTAAAAGCCCAAACCCTAAGCCTAAACCCAAGACCCTACACCATAAACGCAAACAGAATCCAAGCTCAGATCTAGAGATTTGAATCCCCAAAACCGCGAACCCCAAGAGACCTCCAGGCGTTCGTTTTTGATTTGATTGCAGTAGGGCAGGTAGACGCCGTAGCTGACTGTACCGAAAACCCCTGAGGCCCAAGATAAGTGCAAGCCCGCACCTAGCTTGACCCTGGAAAAGAAGAATGGATTGTAAGCGTAGTCAGTCGTGTTCCTGTCCGATGTGTTATGGCGATATCACGAACACAAGGGAACCCTCAGCACCTTTACAGTCCTTGTGGTAACTGGTAACCCTCATAAGGCCCCCAAAATCGCATCAGTTTGCATCTCCGTGTCAGGCCCTCGCCGAGGCGCAGGATGCCTACCGGAAGCAGCTCTCTGCAGAGCTGCCTCTCTGTCATGCATTTGGTATCTTTCAGAAGTTCGGTTAGCGGCTCTGCAACCCAACGGCTGAAAATTGCCAGGAAGACACTCCGCGCTGGTGTGCAAGAGCTGTGGGCATCCCAGTTGTGGTATGAAAGACGAGATCGCCCGTGCGTGGCAGATCGACATCGAAGAGCTGCTTTGCACCGCCTGCAGGGATCCAACCTCCCACCCCGAAACCAGGAACCGAGCCTCGCAATTGGTTATTGAAATTCAACAGATTTTGCCCTGCCATTTTCGGATGTAGAGACAAATTTGGAATGCTCCAGGCTCGCAAAGCGATCAAAGACAGACCCGAGCTGACAGCGAAACCTCTGGAATCAGAAATTGATCCCCTCAATTGATTGTTTCGGTGCTATTTGGTCCTTATTACGGCTCCATGGTCAGTTCCAGCAGATGTTATTCAGGCAGCGCCCCTCCCCAACATTTCTGAGTTTATATTTTCTGGAACGAAAAAAGCAACCAAAGAAGGACCGAGAAGCGCAACATCAGCAGTTGGCAACCCGAGATCAGGGCACCCTCTGTTGCATCTCCTAGAGTGAGCAAGAGATAGTACCAGTATCACTCGCGTGCTCAAGGGGCTCAGTTTCTTAAACAACCGGTTTTCTATGCTTGCCATTCGTGATGCCAAGGACCCTCCAGTTTGAAGGCCTCCTGAAAAAACTTCACCACGAGCGCGCATGGCTGAGAATTTATTTGTCGTGTATTGGATTGTACATGATGAGCTCAGATGAATCTATGAGCTCTTTGCAAATGTGGCTTGGAAGTCAGGCTTCTCCCACGATGCCAAGTTTCTTTGCCAGGAGCTGTTCGGGCCCCGGTTTGTAGTCAGTCACCATGCTGCTCGCTGCTCTGCACGCTGCCAGTGCCGGCCGAAAGCCCAGCGAGTGACATCGAGTATTGAACACAGAACCGCAAGATGCTGTTTGAGCCGATATCATTTCGAGCACGTGCTCGTGCAGCTGAATTGACGTTGTAGGTCCGGCTTAGCACACTCTCCGGTGTTGTGGGGCAATCGTCTTCCGCAGCATTCCTTTCGAGTCTAGGCACGTGTCACGGCGACCAGGGCAAAAGCGCTCCATCACCCTTAGAAGGGCGTCAATAAGGGTGGACATGTCGTCCGTGCAAAAGTAGTGTGAATATTTACGATAGAGGATGTCTGATGCTGGCATTTGTCAGTATCTGCAATGTGTCTGCACAACGGGACGATTTCGCCGCCTTGTCCGAAAGGAATCATCAACTAGCTGTGGGACTGAACCTAGCAAGGCATGCTGCCGCCAGCGAAAGCGATGACTGTCGACGTTTTCGTTAGCTGAGGTACTGCGCCCGTTTGCAGCTGGCGCTGTTACAAAACGTGGAGGACAACCTCGTCCGCGAGCAAGCCCAGTTCGACTTGGCAAGGGCCTCTGTTGCAGCAGGAAGACAATGACATGACTGCACATCCGCTCTTTTTGCGTGAAATTGTGTGGACGACAGAAGAGTACAGTACGCATCAGTGTACTCGGAGACCTTCCCACCGAAAGCTCACATTGCCAAAGACTGCACCGCAATTTGCATCCCATGCAGCCAAGGCAGCTGCACAACAGACAGTGCAGGCATGCGATGCGCGATTCAACGTGAGAACCTCTGCTGGAGATGCAGGGAAGTAATTGGCCGGTCGGAAAGGCCGTATCAAGCAGTAGTTGACCAGATTTTCCATGAGCAACGTAAGACCCGTGCTCTGAGGCTTTCTCTGCAGAAGTCCAGAAGGCCAAAGGAGAGCAGGCGCGTGGCGGGGAGCTGGCCTTCGAACGTGGTTCAGTTTGGGAATCTATGCAAGGACGATCGGGTGCGATCCGAGAAAGAGGCGCGGACCATGACTGTCTTGTGATATCTTGAGGCATCTTTGCCAAGTGTAATCTTGCTGTCAGGTCTCCTCGGCCCAATATTTCAGGCAGGCATTTGCAAACTCGACCCTCGAGGCAAACGCACGATCCCCAAAGTTTGAAGCTAAGTCCCACCTCAAAGCATCTCCAGCCCAGGCCATTACCGCCCTTCTCCAGCCTTGACCTCAGTGCTGAAGCCACCGCAACGACTTCTGTAGCACTCTGCACGCGCGGTTCGCGTCTTTGCCAGGCTGTTCCGCAGGAAGAAGGAGCCGCTGAATCGAGTGCACGACTCAGTACGCAATTACCACTGAATCCTAGCGGTCGTGGCGCAGCCCGAATCTGTCTCGCTCATCTCAGACGAAGTCATTTGCCTCGGAGAAAGAAGATGCTGGGCGGATGCGAAGAAGCGCCGACGGCTCTGTACCGAAAGAGACCTGCAGAGAGCAAGGATGCCATTTCTGTCTCGTTTCTCTCTCTCTCTCTCTCTCTCTCTCTCTCGCTCTTTTACAATTATCCCACTGAGGCCTCGACTGTGGGACTCCCCAACAAGGGTGTGCCCGGCTTCAACCTCCTGGAGGTCTGAGATGTACGTCCAGCGTTTGTAAATCCTTTCAGCTACAAGAAACCAAGGAAGCGGCTGCCGATCCCTACTTGGATCTGGGAGTCGAGCCCGAGACCTGAACGCAAAGCCCCAGAACGCCATGGGCATGCCAGAAACCACGGCTTTCTACACGGAGCTCTCCGAGGCCGAAGGAGAAGCAACTCCAAGTCGAGGACGACATCAAGTTCGAGGCCTTGTGGCCTTGTGCTGTTGGAAACACTGGGATGGTCCCGTTACCTTTTCTCCCGGAAGGACTGCCCAGAGGGAGTTGACGAGGACGGCCTCCACCATGACCCCCTTTGCCTGATGCGACCTGTGGAGAAAGCGAGGAGAGCTTCAACCGAATGCTTGAGCTTCGGGCAGAGAAGCTTCGAGCAGAGGCTGAGGTTGCACGTGGTGTCGGAGCCACAGCCAAATCGCCAAATCACAGCTCCGGTTTGCCCTCGCCTGAAGCCTAAGGCTGCTGTTCTCAATGAGATGGGCGGCTTCCTCGGCCACCTTGAGCGCGAGCCATCTGCTCAGCACTTCTCGTCGTGGGGTTTCTGTGGCGGTGTCTACGCTGTTTTTCCGCAGGTGTATGGAGGCCAAAGCCGAGAATGACCGGCTCGAGAGGGAGCTCCGAGAGCACAAGGACACCGCCGAAGTTCACTTGTGCTTTCGGCCCTGCAAGCACAAAATGGCGTTGAGTCCTTGAGCTCTGTCTTTCAGGCGCTGATGGGCCGAGAGCTCTACGACATCGAGATCCTCTTCAAGCTGAAGCAGGGTCAGGCAGAATCGGAAGTTTGATGTCAGTCCGACATTCTCATTGAGAAGCCTAGCCCAGGTCGAAGTCCCACAGGCAGCTGTGGTCACGGACTACTCAGACGCCATTGTAATCGATCAGGAGGTGCGATACAGACATGCGAAACGTCGGTCAACAAGCTGAGAAAGTCTCGGACAGGTCGTGGAGTCACGCAATCGGCGGATCACGGAACTGGGCAAGGACAAGGTGCACATCCTCACAAAGATCAAGGAGCCTAAGACCTAAGACGTAGACTGGTCTTCTCCTTCAGTCCTCCCGCGGCGCTGCAGGAGTTCAGAAAGTCTTTAAGCACACTGGACTGGGAGCATGAGATGTTGGCACTTCAGACGACGGATCTCGAGGCAAGACCTGTCCAACGACATCTCTGGATGTGGTGGTCACCCTTTGTTTCCTCAACAGGAGCGTACCAAAGATGTACACATGCTTCGAGTGACAAAGGCTGGTACATTGGCTGCGTCTGCGTGTGCGTGCCAGATCTCCTGATCGGTCGCTTCCAGGATTTGCAGTCGCTGCTGAAGGGAGGTGAGGAAGGCCTGGCATACGTACGCGCCTCGCAAGTTCGTTGCTTGCAGCTTCCAGGCAGAAATAAGGCGGAATCGGATCTGCTGGAACGTGGGTTGCTGAGTTTCAGTGCATAGGAGATCGTCATTACGCCATGCAATGGTCCAGCTACAGTATGGCCATTGCAAACCATGCCGAGGCAAGATCGAGCATCTAAGCGAAGCGACCGAGAAGAAAGAGCAGGCATCATCAGCTGGTTCTCGGTGATGCCTTATGTGCGACTTCGTGGGACTGCATCTCAAGGCATTGAAGAAGCAGTATTCGATGCTTGCCCATGCAGCAAAGCTCAGTGGCTTGGCGACATCAAGCTTCACACATGGGTTTTGGAGATGCAGCATCGACGCGATGAGCTTTGACTCTTGACCAGCGTTGCTCAGGAAAGAACGAGAATGGAATGCTCGAGAAGCCGCACTCTCGAAAGTTCATGCTGCATTGCCAATTGCTGTCTGCTGGGCTGGGCTGCTTCACAGCATGTCGCGTGATTGCAGCCAGGAAGCTTCGAGAACTCCAGCAGAATGTGATTCAGCGGGAGCACATTCGACGCCTGCGTGCGCCCTCCGGCCAACCACAAAAGACAGGAGGTGGCGGTCGCGTTGAGGACCGTCTGCTTTCACCAGTAAAAGCCCTTAGTAGCTATTGTCAAGCCCGTCTTCATCAGGAAACGAGCTGTCCGTGAATGACGTCAGTTGCTGTCTCCTGTCCCTGGCCTACCCCCCGCTCTCTCCCTGGCCCTCTCCCTCATACTCTGTCCAACCTCCCTCACAGGCTGCACCCAGGCTTGTCATTGTGCTTGCGCTGGACGGGTGCGGTAGTCAATCTTGATTTTCCTTTCGTCAAGATGCCCGTTTCAATATGCGGACAACTATATTGACATACATCAAGAACAACTCTCAGGGCTCAGGGGCACACAGCCGGCAATCTCAGCAACGGAAGCAATATATAAACACACGAATCAACGATGAGAAGAGCGGTCCACCCAGCATGCTCCCTTGTCTAGACTAGGAAGCGTTTTTTTCCCCATTGGCTTCTGAGAATGGCCGGCCGTTTCTGGACGGGTGCCTGTTGTGCCCTTAAGATGCACGGGATCGATCTCTTTCGCTGACTGGTGGGGTATCCTTGAGCTGTGCTTTAGCTAGCACCCTGTATGCATGCTCTCGGATCCCAAAATCGGCTTCGAAAGCAGATCCGCAATGGCGCAACACGGCGGAGCGGCCTCCAGTTCCTCCGTAAAGCCCTGTCCACCTGCAGCCCAGATGAGCTGTCATGGTTTTTTCTTCGAATCGGTTCTTGTGGCGCACCCTTGCTCGTCCGTTTCTTCATTTTTTGCCGGGCTTCCAGTCTCGTTGCCGTCATGAACACGATGGGGACCAAAGCGCGAAACTTCACATGAGAAGACGAGGACGTTTGGAGTGGGAATCTCTGCTCCGCTTGTCAGGAAGATGAGGGTGCAGCTAAGGCGGCCCATGCTGCCTTCAAAGAGGCCCTGACCTCGCTGTTCTTTTTTTGTGTTCAGTGGGCAATGCATGCAGAGATGCTTAGACCATTTCCTTGGTTTCTCCTCCTGTGAAAGCGCCGGATGCTCAGTTGAGAAGCCGCCAGAAGCTGATGGAGGTGGCCATCATCTCAGCATCTCAGTCCCTGCCTGCTCTGCATCTTTAGTTTTAAGTCTTGTCCAGACGCATATGACTGCTGAGGCCAAGAAGAACACGGAGGAAATCGAGATCCTGCACAAGGACCTTCATCAGATGTTTGACTCATCCTGGGCGACTCAGTCTCGTGAGTCTCACTGTGGAGGAGCTGGACCGCTTGCGCCAGAGAACCTTCCCCTCTTTCGTCCAGCTACACGAGGCCGGGGCCCGAAGCTCCTCAGCTGTGAGACCTACTGGGGACCTACTGAGTCTCCTATTTAAGTCTTTAGGATACATAAATATGTACTGCAGGATCGACCGGCGAACCCGGACCATCGCTGAAACCTTGCGAGATAGAACAAGTTGTACATACCAGAGCGCAGACGGAACGTGGCAATGCAGTTGCCGCCCAGTCAGCAGCCTATTCGTGCATGATTCAATTTAACAGTGTCACGAAATTCCTCGTATCACATTTTCACCTTCCTGCCCGGGCAATCATAAGACTTCTTAGAGGACTTGTTTTCGAAGAGCTACAGCCCGCGCAAAGTAGAATAGGTGTGGTGTTGGCATGTGGCGCTGCCAAGACGGTGAGGTCACGCCAGCAGTGTAGTGAAGTGTGGTGGAGACGGCGGGAGGAACGATGCAAGCAGGTTAAAAGCCAGCATGCTCTTGTGTGTTTCAGATTTGGATCGGTTTTGTGCCCAGCTTCTCAATTCGGCTTGCGATACAGTAGCCAGCAGCGAGGCTCCACGCTTTTAGGCTTTGCAAGACGCCGAGGTGGAAACGTGTGAACTCTCGCTGCAAGCATATCTCAGCGGTGGGCCGTTTGAGCCGACCCGGGCGCCTGTAGCAGGCGCGGCTAGACGTCGGTGATGCTTTCATAGCCCTCCTTTCGAGAGACGTCGGTTTCGACCTGACATAGAGCGCTGGATTGGGAAGGCGTCAAGCGGGCACGACGGAAGCATGCGGATCGAGAAGTTGGCACCTCAGACTGGGGAAAACACAGTTCAATAGAGAGTTAGAAACAAGTCTCCTCGTCTCGACTTGTTTGCGCTCAGCTCCACTGGTGTCGAACCAGCGAACCAATATCGTTAGCACTGTGTGCACTCTGTTGTTCTCACAAGCGTCGCCAGTTGTCCTGCCCGAGCAGTTTTCTTGGTCCAGGTGCTGGTTCTGCTCCAGCAGCATCTACCCCGGTCACGGCATTCAGCTTCCCGGCTATCTTTAGCGGGGAGTCGGGGGAGTTGCTGGGCCATCGAAGACATGAGGTTTGTGCGAAATGACTGCAAGACCTTTCGCTTCTGCCGCCTCCTGGCCTGCACTCAAAGCCAACTTTGTGGGCTGGTAAACTTTTCCCCAATCAGTTCTTGGAGCTGTTAATGTTAATACGGAAGAGAATGTCGACCGTTGTATGCTGGGCTCAAAATCCGGCACTGCACTGGTTTGGCTTCAACTGTGTGAGGTTTTCGGTGGTGCAACTGTATGTAAATGTTTAGCATCAGATCTTGCTTCCTTGGCATCAGGCTCAAAGTGTCACAAGCACTTCAAGATGAAGCACAATCCTCGTAAGTTGAAGTGGACAAAGGCCATGCTCTGAAGCCGCACCAGGTCTCTGGAGATCAGATGTCTCTTTGCCTGTGCTCAGGCATACAGGCGTGCACGTGGGAAGGACGCGTTCAGACTCTACCTACGAAGTTCCGCCCTTTCAGAAGCGCATCGTTTCCACTGCAGGAGATGGTCGTTGATTCTACTTTCAACTTCGAGAAGAAGCGACTCACGCCCACCAGGCCACATGGATCACAAATTTGGGAATCCTGCTTGTCTGCTGTTTATGCTGTTCGCAGCTACAGAATGTGTGACAAGTGACGGTGAAGGTATAACCGGAACTTGATGGTCAAGACGGCATCATGCTGAGATGCAGCGCCTGCTTCACTGCAGCAATATGCCTGGATGTCCTGCTGCTGGTCCAAGGTGCGAGCCATGCAGATCGTAGAAAGGATCAGGTCTGTGCGGAAGGAGCTGGAGCCCAAGAGCGATCATCTTGCGAGATGGCGACAGTTTATTACGGCTGCCTCATGCCATCAATTTGCGGGACGAAAGACGAGTCCTCGGTGGTTACGTTCCTGCTTCTGGCACACCAAGGCGCTTCCACAAGGCTCGATTGGCCGCACAACTCAGGCGAGAAGCAGACGCGTGTGGCACGGGCATGCATGTCCCAACAACGTGATGTTCTCGCATCAGTTGCAGTCAGTACGAGCCGGAGAAGGGCCTTAATGAGCCTTAATGCCTTAATGGCTTGAGCCTGATTTCGCTGCGACATGTTCAGGAAACGGCAGACGAGTGCACAGAAGGAAATTGTTTGAAGCTCAGGATTTCGCAGAGCATTTTGAGTTTTCAGTCGGCCACAAGCTCTGCATGATGCCGCCACCATAGGCGAAGAGTGCTCACCTCTTGGAAGGGCCGAACAAAGAGAAGGCCTTGCGTTACCAGAAGGACTGTACCAACACTTTAAAGCCCGCTCCTCTGTCACGGATGAGTTTTCTTCTGGCGGCCGCAGGAGTTCGCGGGATCTACAAAAGCGAAGGCGAGACAGAAGGTCAAGGCGGGCGACGCGGAAGGTGTTGAGGACAAAGGCGAGAGATACGAAATCGCACGAGAGGTCGAGAAGGCAGCTGGCGGCTCCATGGAAGTGGAAGAGTAAACGTCGTGAAAACACATCCCATCTCCCGACTGTACATCATCAAGCTGGACCGCTTCGTCAGCTTTGTGATCTTAGTGTCAGAAGCTGCTGCCTGCTAGATCCGCTATAAGACCCTCTGCGGCATTGGGTCTGCACGTGGCTGTGCTGCTGTGCTCCAAGAGCATTGCAGACTGCGCACTGCGAAAGTGTAAGACCAAAATCAGTTTCGGCTGTGCTCCACTGCAGGCAAGATGAGGCTTACTAATTTACCTTGTACCAACAAACTGGCTGTCAGACAGTGCGAGCACAGACGTGGACTCGTGTGATTGCGCGAAAAAGCTGTAAGGCTTCCATGTATGCCAGGCAGGCTGCTTTTCGCCGAAGAAGCCGTGCGCATCGAGCAAGTCTCGTGAGCTGTCTGACCTCTTTATTCAGCACAGTGCTCAAGCAAAGGCACAGGAATTGGAGGCAGCTGTTTCCGAATGCAAAGGGTGGAGAGATTCGTGAGAAGGAGTGGTCAACTATTTTGAGCAACCAGGGAGGGGACAACGTTCGGGCAATTTCGGGTCCAGCCGTGCCTTGAGCAGACATGGCGACCATGGCGACCTGGCTGACACACAGCAAAAGCCATACAAACAAATTAACAAACACTCGTGCCTTTGTCATCCCTGAAGGTTCCCGGTCGGAAGCCGCGACAAAAGGAGAGCAAAGAAAGCAAAGGGATCCCAGCGCAGCAGTCCCGGTATTCTTTTGCCCTTGTCTCCACCGAAACCGAAGATCTGCAGGCTAACCAAGAACGAGGTCATCCAAATAACCGCTGCGGAAGCTGAGCTCTCGTCCAGCCCACAGAATTCGCCTTGGAGCACACTCGCTCGCCATGGTCGCACACTCCACCAGGCCGTTCCAGGATGAGAAGCTGGAGATCTACTGCAGAGAGCACGGGCCTATTTCTGTAACCCGCGCGCTTCTCGTGCTGTACCTGACCCGCCAGGCATGATGACATCGCTGCTTCCTTCGCAGAAGCACGCGAGGCAGATTGGCCCCCCGACTTCCTCGCAGTGTTCCAGACACAGCTTTTGTTCGTCAGGGCCGCGGCGTGCTAGCAAAGTTATATGACCAGCGGAACAAAGAGGTGGGACTGATCTCCTCAGCATGCCTGCACAAGTAATTCAATCAGACGTGTGCAGGCATTCGGATCATGCTTGTGGAACTCTAGTCTATGCTGAACCTCGCAGATCTTGGACCGTTTGGTGGCTATGCGGGCGAAGTCGGACAGAGAAGCCAAGTTGAATCTCGACCAGCTCAAGGCAGGCATGGCCGATCTTTTGAGCCACCACCAGTGCCGCCCCATGCTCAGGACTTTTGCAAGGAGTTCGTGGACACGGTGGCTGAGCGCAAGAGAACATGGAAGCAGAATTTTGCCTGCTCCCTAGTCCGACGTTTCCACTCCGCATTTTGAGTTGAACAGAGATTTCAAGCAACTGTGGAAGTTTGCCACATTTTGCTACCCTGTTGAGGCGGACGACAAAAGCGAGCTCACGACGCGATCTACCAAAATGGGTAAAGCCCTTACATAGTTTCCCAGCCTTCATCCGTGCACTGAGGCATCAATGCAGTGAAAATTACAATTTAAGGTGAAACCATCACGACCTTGGATGCGGCCATAGTGCAGGAACATGAGGACTGTACAAGAGGGTGAGGTGCTTTTCTCAGTTGACTGTTGCTTTCCCTGGGATGGACGGCACACGGAGGTCAGCAAAAAATGGCTTTGGCTTTCATCAGCTCTGTCGTTGGCACGAACAGGATTGCCTTGCTCACGCGGCCGCTGAGACAGAGCCTTTGCTGGCCGCATTGAGCAAGTACAGGGCTCGGCCTCTTGTTAGCGCTGAAGGCTGAGGGGACTTACAGGCATCCACATCGAAGCTCTACGAAGCTTTCTCAAATCCCTCAAGCCTGGGATGTGGACATCACAAATCGGAATATGGTCTTGATCTTCGGTACATGCCCGGATTCTCAGAGCATTACACCATGTCGGTCTGTCTGTCTGTCTGTCTGTCTGTCTGTCTGTCTGTCTGTCTGTCTGTCTGTCTGTCTGTCTGCGTCTGTCTGTCTGTCTGTCTGTCCGTCTGTCCATCAGTACGTCTGTCGGTCTGTCTGTCTCTCTCTGTCTCTGTCTGTGTGTCTCTCCGCCTGTCTCTGTCTGTTTGTCTGTGTCCGTCTATCTGTCCGTGACTGTCTGCCTGCCTGCCTGTCTATCTGCGTCTGCGTCTGTCTGTGTCTGTGTCTGTGTCTGTGTCTGTGTCTGTGTCTGTGTCTGTGTCTGTCTGTCTGTCTGTCTGTCTCTGTCTGTCTGTTTGTGTTTTCGGGTTTCGTGTTCCGAGCCTTTTTCTGGCTGTTAAATCGCTGAAGGCAGAAATACTCCTCAGAACAGAGCTTGACCCACCTCCGGATGCCAGAACCCATGTTTAAGAGCGTCACGTGCGCTTTAGCACCGTGCTTTGCAGAATGCCACGAGATGCAACGAGCAAGGAGGAAATGATATAGTCCTACGGGATATCAAAACCCGGAAGCAATCCAACTCACGCGTGCTCATAACTAGAAATGAAACTCAAACCGTGCCTGCAGTCTGAGATGATGCTTAGTTCAGCTTCGTTTATCTTCGTTTGTTTTCCGAGGCATAAGGAATTCCTGGCTGAGCAGGCAGGCCGCACGGCTTTGCCAGATGACATGAGCAACTGCCTCCGGCTTGTAGAAGTATTCATCACCATGCAGAAACTGCCAGCTGCACGCCTGCAGTGGTGCTTCCTCTCTCCATGCCGAAATCCATATCCGTGTTTGCAAAACCGCCCTGTCTCAGTCCTGAAGCTGACACTTTTTGGGTGGCTTCCCGAGGCCCCATGAATCAACTCCCAGCGGCACGATGAAATGATGAGCTTACACACCGCCTCGAAGACGCGATGCTCCATGAAGCCACGGGGCGCGTCTGCGGAGGTGGCCGAGCGATCCGAAGAGCACGATCGCTTCATGGGTGACATGCAGAGCCGCTTCCACTCTTTGAGGCCCTGAGCTTCCGCTCCGCTGCTCGATGCTATCTATGCTGCTCCCTTTTTCGTACGCTACGCATGAAGGGCACCTTCCGACATGCAGGCGAAGGCTGGCCGAGGAGCGCGAGGTTGGCGCCTCTCGAGCGCTGCCGTTTGCATCTCCGTAGCTTCGGCGAGCACGCGAGTGGGGGTTCGGTGCAGGCCCGGCGCCACAGAGGTCACGAAATGCGGCAGCGTGCCGAAGATCGGTTCAGCTCGTGGGCCTGACATGCTCACTCTGCAATAAGTATATAGGAGGTGCGGAAGTGCGCGGACCCAGTGCGGACCCTCGGACCTTGCCAGGCTGGACAGCAGGATCAAGCAGAAGGTGAGCCCTGTGGTGGACAGAGAAGGCCGTGCTGCCGGTGATCCCAACACTGCATGGCAGGAGCCCGAAGTGCTCAGACATCTGGAAGATGTGAGAGCGAGGCCGAAAGCAGAGCTGTTCCGAAGCCGTTGCAAGTCGAGTCACTTCGTGCACCAAGGATGTCTATGGAGCTCCAGATGAGGTCCACGAGCCAAGAGAGCATGGCAGGCATCCAAGACGCTCAAGTTCTCGTGAGCTTCCGATGTTCCCGATCTCTTGATTCTAAGGTGCAAGACATGATGCGCTTCATGGCTCATTTCGAGAAGAGCATCTCGGAATCCGGGGAGCGGCAAGAGAAGACCAAGGTGCGAGGGGCATTCCATGTCCACTTACGTCTCTCTTGCCTAGCTCTCCTGGCTCCAATCGTCTGCAGGCTCACTTGCATGCGATGAAGATGAAGCTGAGAGAAGAGGAGTAGGCAAATCGTGCACTTCTCTGACACTCAGACAAGGCAGCAACACTACCTGCCGCACGCATGCCTGTACAGGTTCCCCTCTCATCCTGGAACCTTCCCCCACGAAGGGTGGCAAACTAACTATGACTACTATACCAACCCGGATCAACCCGGAACCCTGCATGGTCGCTTCAATTTGTGCAGTGTCACCGGCTCCACAGGGAAGCCGCCCAAGGTGGACTCTTCTCCGGGCCGCGTAAGTACGCCCAGTCCTGCTTGCTGCAGTGCGCATGCCATGTGTCGTCCCGCCAGAGCCCAGTTGCAAGCGCGCTTTGCCACTGAATGCTCGCGGCCGCTTGCGGACCTCAATCTAATCTAAAGTTTCTGAATACGAACTCAAGCGGCCTGATGAGCATGTTGGTCAGACTTCAAAGCCTGTTCAGCCACTGGTAGTGGGACAGATCTTCGATGTGTCTGTCACAGATGGGAAGATAAACCGACTTCTGAGACATCCCAGCCCACCCACCCACACCTCGCTTTCAAGCATCCCGTTATTTAGAGTGGCTTTCTGGTCAATGCGATTGGGACCTCGCACAGCGTTGGCTTCTCATCGTACACGCGGAGGTTCCAGCTTGCAAGCGTTGCAAAACTTCGCTGCTGTGAACTGAAGGTGAGCGATGTCTTTCAAAGACACCTTCACTAAGGACCCGTGCTCGTAGTATCCCGCAGCCCTGGAGCCAAAGGCTTGTGGATCATGCTCATATGCCACGTAAAGCTATGGTTGCCCTTCGTCATCCATCAATCGTTTCGGTCTGCTCTGCTATTGCATTGTAGTCTGTGACGATGACGAGTTTTTTCTCCGTGAATCATGTTCCTCTCCAATCAGGAAAAAAAGGAGCTGGTAGGAACTTGCTGTTTATTCTAGCACGATGCAGCTCGCCTGTGCTAGGATGATCAGAAAGAGGGACTTCTCGGATACGATGACACGGCCTTCTACTACTTCTTCAGCAGCGTACCGCTGTCCTGCTTTCGGTAGGCTTGCCTGGCACATGTCTTTGACAGATGTTGGTGACAGGTGCTGGTGACTGTCGCCGTGCCATGGACATGCTCAGTCATTTACAACTTCCTCTTTCCCGGTCAAGCCCAAGTGGAAAAGGCAGCTCGAGCTACCAAACCAGGGACTGCAGCTGCCGTGCCTTTGGTGCCAGGATTTCCCAACCAAAAGCAAATCTGGAAGTAGATATCACTACTGTCAAAGCCGATGCCTTGGCAAGAAAAGGATTCAAGCACTTGCCGGTCACATTTCCGCCAGTTTCGATGACTCCCAGTGTTTTCCAAGGCTCGCAGATGGTGGACAAGATAGAAAAGGCGAAGTCCTCGAGCGAGAAATCCATGTTTGTCGAGAAAAGAAGACCCGATGTCAGGCCCGCCAAAAGGCGAGGAGAGCAAGTGCAGGTCGCCAGACCCATGTCATGACCAGGTTGTGGAAGGATTGCTGCATACACTGAACTGATTTCACGGCTAGGCTCGTCGTTCACAATGATCATCAAACTATCGCTGTTGGCTGGCATTTGGCAGGGTGCTTAGCCGCATCGTGTTGTGTTGCAGGATGGTGATTCCGCTTCATGTTGTGAAGCTTCCGAACTCGTCGAAGGCTGACTATATACCTGATCCACTTGCATCTTGGTGATGCTAAAGAGATCAAGAGGCAGGTTGCGCTGCAAACAAGCCTTTCCTGAGGGATACGGTATTGCAACCGATGCAGCTCGCGAATTCGTGGATTCCTGAAGGTTTGATCCATTCGAGATCCTGGAGGTCAGTCCCGGCGCATCAGCCCCCGAAGTCAAGAAGGCTGGATCGAGTCTTTGGGTCTTTGTATCTCTATGTAACCTGAGAGGTCCTGAGAGCAGAGATCGCAAGGCGTACCGACAGCTGTCTCTGAAATACCACCCGGACAAGAACCCCGATGATCCGTTGGCTGCTTCGCGCTTCATGCAGATCACGAAGGCATCGGCGGACTTTTCATGGCCTGCTATCTGAAGTTTGTTGAATTCACGAATTCTGTCCAAGGCGCACAACGCGCTAACAGATGAGACAGCCAAAGCCAACTACGAGAAGTGCGGCATGATGGTGAAGAGCACGTTCATCCGCTACTAGTCTTTGTGTAGGTATGGCAATCCGGATGGTCCGCAGACATCGAAAGTTGGTATCGGGCTGCCCGGGCCTTCGCGAATGCAATCTGCCAGCTGTTTGCTTCGGAGGGTCTTATGTACAGCAGATGTTGATGCCTTTTTTTCTGCAGGCCACGCTTTTTGTTGGAGAAGGAGAATCATTTGGTCTTCTCGGCGCATTCTGCTGTTGTGACATGATATAACATGATGCTGAAGTTCCGGCGGGTTGCCAGCACAGCAGAGCAATCACACCATCGTCCTCGAATCTGCTGCCAGATGATACTTTGTCTCTTCTTCTTTCTGCTGCTCTTTGCCAGAAGCTCAGAAAGCGTGGTCACGTGCCTGCTTTTTGCACATGTGGCATCATTGCCAGGCGGAAAGAGTACCTGGAACCTCAGTAGCACTGACCGTCTTTTCGTAAGGTCGTGCCTATGGCATTTATCTGCTACTACCAGAGGACCGCCGTCTTCTGGCAGCTTCATGAGGATTTGTTGAGGCTGAATCTCATGGAGTGAACTTTCTGAGCACAAGTTGGAGTAGTTCGTGAGATGCTAGCCAAGCCTGCCGATGCACAGAAGACAAGCCCTCGTTCGTCTTGGGCACCACAGGACGAAAAACTACGCGGCCAACGGCGTCATGATAGAGACCCTGCAGTTCATGGGGCATCTCAGCGGAACAACAGTTCTGGGGCCTGATGGCAGCATTAGTGGAAGCCGGGCGTCCTCTGCCGGCGCAGGTACTATATCAACGAGGTGTGCTGCCAAGCGGTCTCCTTGATTAGGACTTCGCACCTACGAGCCACCGTGCTTGTCACTCGAGGCCACGAGGCTCAAGAACTGCCCGGAGCTGCTCGCAGCTTCAGCAGAGAGCAGGCGCGCGCAGCAGAGGTTTGAGCGAGCTTCTAAGTCCCGCGTCCGATACTGCTTCAGCATGCAGGGCGACATGATAGAACGATGTTGAATCTTGAATGCATGTTTTGCAAATTCATTCACGGTTGAGCCTGCACAGGCTGCAGCATGAAGGGTTCTGTTTGTGCTCGTCGCAAAAACCCCTGCAGGAAAACCCCAGCTCTTTATTTGCTTGCAGATGGGATTTGCAATCACACATCTTGCACTTGGCCCAGGGGCATGTCTCTGAGACCATCAGACAATGCAGAGATGAAGACGTGATGCTCTCAGATTCTTGAATGCCAAGATCGAGGGGCACGAGCATGGACTGCAGGACTCGAGTCGTGCTATTGCAAGGCTTTCCGCGCAGGTCGTCGAGCACAAGAAGCGTCAGTTTACTGCTCCCATCATCATCAAGTGCGCCCCCCTTCTGGGAGCATGGTAAGATTTGTGCGGCTACCCCTGCCTTGCTTAGCCAGGGTGTTTGTGCGCGCTGACAGGTGTTCAATCATTCATTCATTCATGCATGCATTCCTTCAGCATTCCGCATCTCGGCTACAGGAACAACTTCTTGCTTCTCGGCCACATGCAGCGGCTACACCACCTCATGTCTGACGACCTCCGAGCAGATCTGGATGAGATGCTGAGGCAAGCCAGCTCTCACCGGGCTGTACGAAGTGCATCGTCATACCGATTACTCAGACATCGTTTCATCAATCTGATAATCACTATCATACCTGCTTTCTGGCAGTTGTAGCGATCCTGGGCCCTTAGTGCGGAGACTGCATGGCATGCGAGTGCTGAAGACGTTCTAGCCAGTACTGTAACAGCAGAAGGATGGGACAACTCGCAAGTTGTACCGAATGGCAATTACAGCAGGGTCGTCGACAGCATAAGATGCATGAGTGTCAGGAACATGTCAAAACGCTGGATCCACGTTGTTCATAGCTGCGCTTCTACTTTGCCCACTCTTGTGGCTGTCGGAGCCTGACCCTCCTCTTCAGAGAGAAAGCCCGCAAAGGCTTGGTCTGAAATGTGCATGAAGAAGCCATCTGCCGCGGTTCACACTGCGATGAGATCATACCTATATTCAACAGTGTGCGACATCACGAGCATGACAAACATGCTGCTGAAGCAGAGCAGTGGCAGACAACTGTTGTCTCTGTTGGCTTCTTTGTTCAAAGGTCCGTGGGTGTGTGCGTATTTATGTGCGCAGGCGTGCGTGTGAGTACCGTGATTTGCATTGCCGTCACTTGGCAGAGTGATCCTGAGCGTGCTCCCTGTCACGAAGCAGCGGCAGGCATTCGCAGAAGATTACGCAGGCGATGATTGAGATCGCCTGCATGCGGGAATGGCTCCTCCGTCTATACTAATATGCACTGTGGAGCCCTGCAGACTGCAGATTCAGACAGTCTCAGCTTAGGCAGCCGGCGGTTTAATTGGTCCCGTGCTGTTGCTAACTCAGGTTCTTCACGGCCCAGGCCATGATCGAGTTCCGACGCTCCCTCATACAGGCAAGATGCCCGGACAGGCGCAGGCTGGGCGGTGGTAGAAACAGATGCCTGCAGGCCTTGGACGTCAAGAGCTCACAGCTCCTTCAAATCCCTCACTTCAATGAGGAAATCCTCAAGCCTGGTTCTCAGATATCTTTTTGTATGCCAGCAGACCTGACATGCGAAAATGCGGGCGATCCCCGAACCGGCTCCGAAATGCTACGAACATCACAGACACAGAATGTGCATGCCACATGCCGGCTTGCAAACGGGTCTTGGAGTCATGCCACGCCAATGCCAAATAAGGCACTGTCTCAAGGGCAAGAATGCCGCTCACACCTCAGATCGCCGAACTGCAAGCTTGTTACTCTATTCGCCACCAGTATGATTTTTTGTCGTTGAGCTACCATCGACTCGTGGGGCTCCTTGGCTTACAATTCTGTTGACCCCCTTGCGTTATGACAGCACATGCCGGCACGGATCCCTGGAAAGTCGAAAGTCTTCCGTAGGGGAGCAGAAACCGGTTCCGGCAGCCACTCTCAGACTTCGACGCTGCTGGACTACCTGCAAAAAGACCGTGATCAGAGGAAGGCGGCACGGTGAGACGTCTCCGCGCATTCAGCTAGTGGGAACCCCGTGCAGGGACTTACCACCATGTCTCCCGACCAAGTTGCAGATGTGGAGGTCAGCGTCCAAATATTCGCACTTGACATGCGACATGAAACTATATGTGTGCTTTCCAGCTTCACTGACCGAACTCTAGCGTCAGGCATTCACTGCTCACGTCAGCAACATGGAACTGAAGGCCATCACAGAGGCCCCACTGCACTTGATCGTGGCTACTCTTGCTTGAAATCCTTGAACTGCAATGCAGTTCAGGTGGAGGACGAGAAAGACATTGTTGTTGGCGACATTGCGACCGTTACCTGCCAACTGACGCCCTTTGCCTCACCGGTTTGGTTGGTTGAGGGGGTTCACTCTTCATTTTCCGTTGTTGAGGCGAAAAAATCTGCAGGAGGGTGAGGCCTGTGGCGTGTAGATGACACAGTCCACGCTTTAAGCTGTCTCCACAACGGTGTGCTGCGCCGCATGAGCCTGGCCAGGCCATGGGCCCCGTGCATGCACCGTTCTATCCTGAGGCCAGAGCTGAGCATCCTGAGCCTGCCCTTTCCACTAAGCTCTGATCGCATCTGTTGCCTTTGCAGCCCAAATTCGAAGAATGGTGGATCTTCCTGGCCGGACTCTGCAGCTTCCTACCATGTGGGCCTGCTTCTAGATTAGTTATAGATGTTGAACCAGCTAAGGTGGAGGGTGCGCCAAACACAAGAATCATGGGGTTCGAGTTTCGCTCTTAGTACCCAGCACAAAGCACTCCGGCAAAATGCACGTGCCTGCGTTTTGCGAGATGGTGACCGACAAGGCGAATTCGGGACACGGACCGGGTCGTCGAAACCAAACTGCGCTTTCAGGCATATGGGCAGATAAGTTTTTTGGAGCCGTTGCATGTTCGGGGCGCCGTTTCGGAGGTCTCCCGGCCGGGCAAACACAGCCTCACCGTCCACGCGCTTTGCGATTCCTACGTGGGCATCGACCAGAAGGCCGCGGATCGCTGGGCGCTGGCGGAGAAGTCCGCTCTTGCTTAGATTCTTCGCTTTTGGGAGGTGGACCTGAACTTTGTTGTGCACACGGAGGAGGAGGCCTGGGCACAGAAGCTCTGAAGCCCTCTCACTTTCGAGTCCTTCCGATGTCCTTCCGAAGGTGAAGCGAGAGATCTTTGTTCATCCTGAGGATGAGGACCTCCGCTCGTCTTAGCAGCTATACGGCTATACGTAAAGTAGCCCGTGCTGCTGCGACTTGAGAGTGTGGCTTTCTGCACAGCGCAGCAGACCCTGGAAGTGCTCAGCCGAACTAAAGCTCGTCGCGGAAAGGATCTGGATTTGCAGCCGACTCTGTTTCAACAGTTCATGGGCGAGCCCGCGCCTGAGAGCTTGCTCGTAGGCACGAGGCCTGACAGGCTGCAAATCCCAGTGTCTGAGAGGCTCGGAGGTGATGACGAGAGCGAGGAGGAGGAAGACGATGACAAGAACAAAGGCAAGAGCAAAGTTGAGAAGCTCAGCGATGGCAAGCAGCAGAAGGCCTGTTGTCCTCTGTCACGTGCTTGTGCCACGCGTGCTGTGGTCTGCATCATGCGAATCCGCCGCAGGCCGACAGTGATAATGAAGATGACAAGAAGGCCATGCAGAAAACCCCGTCTTTCGAGCTTGTTTGCACGATGGTTCCGAAACTGGCAGGGGGAGGATAGCGATTCCAGTGGTAGCGATTCTGACGGTGACTAGGCGCCCGGCTCCCGGTACTCCTAATGATGCCTCTTGCACTCGCTGTGAACGTAGCACTGAGGCTCACGGCTGTGTTACCGCAGTTTTGAGTCTGAACCGCTATGTGTACGTTTTTCCACGTCTCGGTGGTCGCTAGGTGTGAGATGCAGGTGGGACATGGTGGGACATAAGGCCGAAAATCCTGCAAACATATTATCGGCTATTGTATGAACATAGGCACTGGAGCTCTCATGCAGCTTTGCTTACAGGGGCTTGAGCCCCGCCCCTCTTTTTGTGATGTGAACAGACGAAGCACCCTTAGGAGGGAAAAACCCTCGCCTGTGACAAGATGGCAGATCTGAAAAAGGCTTTACAAGATCTTGCGTTAGCGTGCCATAGACTTCCAGAAAGCTGCTCTGCTCATGAAAGGACCTCTGTTGTCCCAGAGCTGCTTGGCTCTCGAGTAGACTGGCTGGGACGTCTGTCGCAGCTTGTCCGGCCCATGCGGGACACCAAATGGGACGGGGATCCTGCAAAAGACTAGTGCCAGTTGCTGCTTCTTCTGTCGCATTTTGCGGCATATGCAGGTCGCAAGTGCACATGTCCGACAGTGTGTTCTGCCACAGGCACCGCTGGAAGGCCTTGGGGACATTTCGGGACCAACGTTCTGGCTTTTGTTCGATTGCGCCAGCCTTAGCGCAGGTTGGGCTATTGCACGTGATCGACGATGCTTGGAAAGCCCAGGCTCGAGTAGAAGGTGACATAAGATAACTCAGTGGAGGGGAACGTGCCATGTTTGCTAGGCCTTGCCTGAAGACGACTTGGTTCTCCCAGAAGGCCACCAGATCAATCTGGATGAGTCCGACGACAAAACGCCGGAAATGGAGCGCTCAGAGGAGCGATGGCTGGGTGGCTCAGACTGCTTGCTGCTGTGTCTACCAGAACAAAGAAGACCAGCCCGGTTTCTCCAAAATCTTACAACTGATAGCTTAAGAGCCAGATTGCAAGCGGTACGAGGTGCGAGTTGCCCTTGACACACTTCCTGGAAGAGGAAGCAGAGGCAGGGGCGAGTACAGAAGACCCACTCCGGGGCAATGCATGGGCTTGCCGTCCAGGTGGCCGTTGATAGGGGAGCTTCCAGCTTCTAATCTCCTGATGCTCCCCGTGTGGGATCAATATGAGATGTTTCACACGCAGCCGGACAAGATAATTTACACTCGGGAGCACAAGCAGGCAAAATGTGAGCGGCCGCTTTGCTTTCTTGTTGACCCTCTTCAACCATATCGTTACGAGAGCCGCAGTTATGCTGAAGCTACAATCAGAATCACAGTTTTGCCGTCTTTATCCGACCGGAACGGAGAGGAATGCAGCACCGCTGCTTCGCATTGTCACCGGCGAGGTCGAGCGAGGTGCCGGTGTCGAAGCAAATTTGGGCAAGACGAGAGTCCGCAACGCAAAAGGCGGGGACGCGGCGCGACCATCGGTCACCCCGACTTCGTCGGCGCTCACGCCGCTGGCCGCTTCGAGGCTCAAACCGACTTGTTCCAGAAACTGCAGCGCTTGCCCGATTTGCAAGTGCCTGGCTCCTGTTGGTTTTCTGCGCGGCGCCTCGGCCGCAGCACCTGCTTCGGAACGTTCTCCGGGCAGATATACTGCCCTACGCCCTCGCCTACAATGCTACAATCTGGACTGTAGTCGAAGGTTTGCTTTGTCATTGTAGCTGACAGGCTTGTGCGTGAGCTCAAGGGCGAGCCGGCGCGGCTTTGCTTGCGGGCAGCTGCAGATGCCGCGAACCGGCTCGCTGAAGTAGCCTGAGAAGCTACACCGGCTTGGGAGTTTTACAGAAAAAAGTCATTGTGCCTGTGGCGCAGGCAGCCCGGGGGTCGACGGAGAACTCGGGCTGGGGTGCTTCGGTTGGCAGCGACACGCCGTTCTCGCACCCCACGCTTCCTTTCGAGAACGCGTGCTGCTCCCCACCTTGACTCCAGAAGCTCGAGCCCTTCTACACTCTGAGTCGGGCCCGCATGCGGGGATGTGGCTGGCAGCGATTCCTTCGGATGCTGCCTCCGACCTCATGCACGTAGCAACGAGGCGCCGGCTCTGCCGGTGCGGTGCAGAAGGTCGGCACGGCTGCGGGATGCTGCGCGGCTGGGGCTGACGACCACGAACCACCACCTCGCCTGCCCTCGCACAGACCTGTTGCGATGCGACGCTAGTACCCCCCCTCACTCGCGCAGGCCGTCCAGTGCCTGGAGCTGACGCGCGCGACGTCGCCCTTCGTACGGCCCGCTAGCAAGGCCAGGTCCGCCGTTGGTGGAGCGTGTTGTCCGTCGCCCTGCAGCGCGCGGTCGCCTGCTTTGCGCTTGGGGTATGGTCCATGCCGCCGCTACCGGGCGCAGAGGACGCGCTCCCGTTGGGCGCCGTGCTTGACCTCGCGAGTGAGAGCACCCATAGTGAGCTGCCGCTTCGCTGACACGCCGCCAGAGGGTTTTGAGCCGGCGGCACTGGGTTGCTTAGCGAAGGATTTCTCGTCCGCTCGACCCAGAGCCTTTTCCTCTGCATGTCTGTGTCGCATGCATCCAGTTCGGCCCCTCACTTCAGCAGCGAGGACAATAGTGCCACTAGCATCGCGTGGGCGCAGCGGTGGAGAAAAATGTGCGAGAAAAAAACAACAAGCCGTTGCGGCCCCGCGGGTGAGTTCCGGGTAATGCGCGACTTTGCCTCTGTGCGGGGGGGGACGGCTCGGCCAGCCTGAGTGGGGACACGCACGTTGCATCACAGCACACACCTCCCCATTGCACGTCGCCCCATGGACAACGAAGTCAGTAACGAAGTCGACGGCGACGGTCGTCAACGTGGACTTGCGGCGCTGCATGCAGTGCGCGCAACCCGACTCTCCGGGCCAACAGCATCGTGAGCGACCTGAGACAGGCCTCTACTCCCAAGCGCTGTGGTCGTTGCGTTCTTGTTTCCGTGCACGAATCCCCTCTTAACAGAGCGCAAGGAAGCGGGTCGCGACCGGGTCCTTGCAATCAGCTGTTTGGGGTTGCAGAGGCTTCTGTGGCTCGTTATGGTTCGTGCATGCACGCTGCACTGACGCTGTTTGTCTTCCTTCTCACACAAAACACGGGTTCTGCACACTTATCCGGAGCTGCTCTGTGCCCGCCGCTACTTTGTGGTCTTCGGCATTGCAACAGGTGGGCGTTGGAGTGAGGAAGCCGTGACATTCCTAGCCCTGGGACCGTGCGCAGGACTTCTTCGGAAAAAAAACTCGCGCAAGCCCACGCAGCCAGTGCCCCTGCCGCTGTGTGGAGTGGCATCCTCTCGGTTGCCGCGCAGCGAGCCTTCGCCACGTCGCATTTTGAGCTTCCTTCCTCCCGCCACTGTTGGGAGGCTCTTTTTTGCATTAATTGCAACCAGAAACCTGCGACGGCCCGCCGCTTGACACCTTGTTCCACCACGATGCCCTCGCCAGCCAAAGCCGCCTGTCCCTGACACGGGACTGTTGTGTAGTCCGCAGCCATTAGGTACAATAGTCAGCTTAGCATGATAATAACGAACGGCCGAAAATTTCAGCCAAATTAGGACCGTGTGGAGCGAATACGTTGACACGTCGTGTACGGCGGCGAACTCGTGCGAGATGGCGTGCATTGAATTGTGAAGACTCCAAGAATGCAGGAAGTGTGCTGAAAATGATGTCGGCGGTCGTGCACCGACCTCCCGAGCACCACAAGCTGTTGCGCGCCGGCATCCACCATATTTTCACAGCCGCAAATCTGAGCGGGTCCAGTCTACGGCGGCGGGTCGACGGAGGCTCTAAGCAAGGGCAGACAAGACTTTTGGGTTGAGCCAACGAGCGTCTGCAAAGCGTTCGTGCAGTGTTGGGGGCGGGGGCAGGCCAACCGACTGGGGAGCTCCAGGAAAGTGGCAGCGAGCGTGCGCTCGCAACGTAGATGAAGCAGAACCCGCGCGTTCCCTGAATGAACATTTCCATTATCCGCGTTTGGGAACTGAAAGGCGGAGAGGGGGGTCACCGGACCGGGATGTGGATGGCTCTGGGTTAGCAGGTGAGATTTCCCGTTCGAGCTCGCACCTTTCGGAGCTATGGTGGGGCTCGTCGTGTTTTTTCGGCGTCTTGACCTGGGTTCGCATCCTGGAAGAGTGAGCTGTCTTCCCACACGCCAATCGCCACACCACCCCCAACAAACGGCGACTGTCTCGAGGATGGGCGGGCCCACCCCCCCTGACATTTCCACTTTCGGGTCTCCGGGCCGACCCGGGTTCGCATCCTGGAAGAGTCCCACACGCCAATCGCTACACCTCCCAGGCACACCACGAAAGCCCGGAAATTGGAAATGACAGGTGTGGGACCCCACTGGCCCGAGGATGGGCCCCGACATTTTTTTTTTCCTCACGCCTGTTTGCGACTGCAAGCGAGGGTCCAGGTCCCACATTTCCATTTTCGCCTTCTGGGCCGGAACCTAAGCCGATCGCCACATCACCAGAAAGCCCACGAAAAGCCCGCAAATTGGAAATCACAGGTGTGGGACCCCCAGCAAACAACGACTGTCTCGAGGATGGGCGGGCCCACCCCCCGACATTTCCGTTTTCGGGCCTAGGGCCTAGGACCTGTGGCTGAGCGGCTGCTTGAATTTAGAAGCTTGTGGTGTGCTTGGATTCGCCGACAGCTTCTGGCTCTACTTCGGCCCTCCTTCGGGACAGGTCGAGCTCTTTATCGCGATCCCTAGGTGTATGAGTGATTCGGGCCCCCATCGTTCCGAGTTGGACGAGCTTTGGGGAGTGATCAGGCGGCTAGAGCAACGCATCAGGGAGCTTGAGCTTGAACGGCGGGAACCATCCCCGCGCCGGGGAACTAGGACATCCACATCTCCTCATTTCCCGTCTCCTCCAATGGTCCGTACTTCGTCTCCTGCAGAGAGCAGTCAGAAGCATCGAGATTCAATCTTGCAGGTCATCGGGGCTTGGATTCGAGGTGCTTTCGAGGGCAATCATCGCGGACTCTCAGGGCGGGAGCTTTTGGACGGATCTTCGCACATCTACCTGGTGTTCCGCTCCATAGACGGCACCGTGCACAACCTGGTTCTGATTTTCAATCGCTGGTCCCAGGCAGCTGGGCGAGTCACCTTCAGCGGGTCAAGCCGCGTCGGGTTCCACGGGGACGCAGTCTTCATTGGTTTGCCGCGTCGCCGGGGCGCGGAACTGGTGGTAGCTAGTGCATGCGTGAGCTGGCCGGTGGGCCAGTGAGATGAGCAGTGAAAGTGGGGAGGAGGAAAAGGAGGCCGAAGAGTCTCCTGTCCCGGGGTCCATCCGGGACGCGATTTTGTATAACGGGGGTGGCCAGGCTAACTTTGAGTGCTCCGTGGGCTATCTCAAGATTCAACAAGGGGAAGTCCCCGTCCTGTTCCAGGTTGCAGCGATCACGGTGGTCCAGGATAAGGTCCTTGTCGCCTTCCCGCACACAGCGTGGCATAGAACGGTGGACCGAAGGGAGGCGACTGCGCTGCAGCGCGTGCCTGCGGAGTGGAGTCTCGAGCAGAACCAACTGAGGCCATCAACATTCGGACTTGGTGGGCTACCTGAGCAAACGGCTCGAGGACAAAGTTGACTACTTTGGAGCCGGCGAAGAACCTGAGACAGATTTGCCAGCGCTTTGTCCCAGGAGTCAGCCACCGAGGCGAGATTCAGTAAGCTGGAGGCAGGACTTGGGGACATCAGGAAAATCTTGGATCGCTTGAGTGGGAGCGCTGGGGCGATTCAGGAACCTCGTAGCATAGCACCAAGTGCCGTCAAAACCCAAAGCCAACAACGCAGCTGCTGCTTCAAAGCGATGGCCCGGCGCTGGTAGCGGCGGGGGGCTCGATGCGGAAGTAGTTGCTGCAGCCCGGGGTGCCGGTGTGCCAGAGTCCCATCTGAAGGAGATGGAGAAGTTGATGGGGTTGCAGCGGGCGGGACTGGAGGAGCCAGGAGGAGGCGGTCTGGGTCTCGTCGCACAGTTTCGGACGCCGTGGACGAGCTGGGAGAACCAGTGGACGAGCCGGATGCACAGGACCTCCCAACGGATCCCATGACCGCAGCGCTGACAAAGCTGACGACCATCGTAAACCAGCTCGCCGCGCGCAAGATCAAG